TAATCAATCAATAAATAAACAAGGAGGCCCCGCGCCTCCTTCCCCAGACCGAGTTAGAAGCGGTGGTTTCTGGCGCAGCACCACCCGCTGGGGCCAGTGCGGCAGAGGGAAATTAAATGTATATCTGAAATAGCTGCTCTCTCCAAATCCAGTCATCAGGAACAGGGGCAGCTCTACCATGTACTGCATTTGATGTCACAAAAATGCCGCAGCACTGACGCTCAGTCGACATTAGTGAGTAGAATTAAATTCAGCCAACAGAATATGATTTACTATAAGAGAAGCCTCTGAAGGAAGCCTGACCTTCTATAGCATTTCATTTGGCCATGATATTTATTTTTGGAGCCACCAAAACTCAGTAAGTTATAGAGAAGAAGAAGCATTTCCTAAGTCCTTCAACCTCCTATCCTCAGCCTACACACAAAAGTAAGTCCTTGCAGCCAGAGCGCGCCAACTGTGCCCCATTTCTGTGCAATGAATGCTTTGATATATATAAATTCAGCAGAGCAAAGCCTTCTCACCTTTTGGTTTCTAAAATGTTCAGAGCTATGTTTTCAGCGTAACAGTGTAATCCAGTAGATGCTGCTGAGAGCGTCTGCCTGTGAAGGCTGAAGTATTTGCTATCTGGCCAGTTTCAGAAATGTTTGTGGGTTCCTGTCTTAACCCACACAGAATAACTCTCAGTTAAATGCAGTGTATGACTAGTATGGACAACAATGAAAACAAATTTTATAAAATGAGTCACCTCTGCAAATAACAACAACAACAACAAAATTGGAGTAAATATTACACAGGGAAAGCAATGAAATATTCATCATATAAATGAAAGATCTTCTTGGCCTGACATTGAAGCTCACTTCTGCAGATAAAATTTCTCATTGGATAAGGAAAAGTTTGCACTTAATATCACATGATACTTTATCACTGAAAACAAGACTGTGTCAAATGCTTATAGCTGCTAAGAAGGTTTTGAGTCTCTGACTTCTTACTGGCATGAAAAAAAGTAATTTATTCCTAAGCAGCTTTAAATAAAGACCTGGCTCATTAGTGAGTTCAAGCTGACCTGACCAGCTTACTGCGGACAGCCCAACTTCCTGTTTCTTAAAATATCTTATTAAAATTTTTTGGTAAAATGCTTATGTGAATCAACACTAGCAATATTATTTTCTCAAAAGATTAAAGTTATTTCCCATTTAAAAAATCAAAAGCTTGGTTCATCTTCATTTGCTCTTGATTTATTTTTGCAAGTTTTAGCATTTTGAACTTTTTCTAAATTATCCAGCTCAAGTTGGACCTCAAGAGTCTTTTTTCAAAGCCATACTTAGATTCTTCTAATGAATTAAGAGCTAAATCGCATCTTCAAATATCTACTAAAAATAAAAAATAACCTGGTAGTGCCATTAAAGAAAGAATTAAACAATTGCTAAATTGATATCCTTCACACAAATCATAATTGCTGAATTATAAATGAAAACACAGTAATGAAAACATAAACATGCTTTTCCCAAAAGAATAATTGTGTAGAGAAAATGATGTTAATGCTATAATAAAATTATATTGTGAAATAGTCATAATTTTGATGTATTTTTACCTGATGGGAAATTGAGGCTTGGGAATTCAGTGATTCCATGTTATTATTCATTCGTTTAGGTGCCTGCCACCCAGTGACAGGAATGAGCAGCATTCACACATTTACTGACATTTTAATATCTTAAGAGTCTACTGACAACCTAATCAACAATTTTTTGAGATTTTCACATTTAGAACTCAATGGATGTCAACATCATTTTCTACCTTTCTGCAAATAGAAGACCACAAATGTTATGTAGCTAATTGACTTTTTGACTTCATGTGACAGGTATATATGGCTAAAGCTCTCTGCCTTAATATTTGAGTTTAAGGAAAAACGGCTTCTTTGTTTTTGGCCTTATGTATCTTAAGATGATCTTTGCCAATCCCCACCTCTATCTCTCCCAAGGATTCATTGCTCCACTGGAACAGTATTTTTTTTGGCTTCATTTTAAAAATAATCCATCTCTTTAAAAATAAGTTTTGCAGCTGGGTCTGGTGGCACATGCCCATAATCCCAGTATTTGGGAGGCTGAGGCAGGAGCATTGCCTGGAATTCAAAACCATTTTGGGCTACATATCAAGAGCATGTCTCGAACAAACAATAAACAAACAAACTTTTGTGAAGGCCATAGTGGCCAGATACCTTTGAGAGTTTTAAGATTCATTTATATAGCTCCAATACTGAATTTTCTTAGTTCTCACTATATGCAAAGATAATTAGACAGCAGTAGATAGGGTGGAGGGCAAACTGAGACAAGTAGAAGGAACGCAGAGGAGGGGAGCATGTTGGGAGAACTAATGCGATCATTCAGGTACTAAGAACCCAGACCAATGTGGCAGCATCCACGCGAGAGGTGGCTTTCGGTCTGCTGCGTCTGCAGGGACACCTGAATGCTTCTTAGTGCCAGCTGAGGTGGCCAAGCACTTTTACAATAGGATTTGATGCCTAGGGGCAGTGTCCTTGTAATCTTCAGGGAGCGTCGCAAATGCAGGCACGCCAACTCTCTCTGCCGCTTTTCATGCCATATCCCTCTCTTTGGTATAGTGTCCTAGGGCTATCCCCCTTGCTCCTATAACTGTCTTTCTCCAACTGAATAGTCTTGAAGAACAGTATTGCGGATAGTATTCTGTTTGTATTGGTATAATTTGAATGTTAATGATTCACAATTAATCATTACGGTTCAGAATTTGGCAGTCATTCTTGGAGTTCCCTTTACCAAGCCAGAAAGCTATTACAAATATTTTTGGCAGAACCTGTACTGAAAGGTATTTCTGAGCAAAGTCAGAAATCAGAGCTCAATGAAATGAGTGAAGAGATAGAATCTTGCCCTGTGTCTCTCTCATTATAGCGCTGCAGCCTAAGGATAGCAGGTGGTTAAGGCTTGTCCAGTTGTGGCCCCAAAGCCTCACATGGTCATGGGGAGGGGGCTTCTTCAGAGGTGACTGGATCTAGAGTGTGTCATGTTGGAATTGATTCATGTGCAACGCTAGGCTCCATGCCCCTAGGATTAAGGGTGTGAGTGCTGCCCACTATAAGTAGTCTGAATTATATAAAATAGGTAGAAAGGCCCTAGTAAAATCCCTTGTTGCTTTTGCCACCTTGTGGGCCCCATGAACTGTTTTACTCTATGAGGTCCCTCTGCC